TGAACCCATGAAGAGGGTAGTGTTAGATGAAATTGGCTAACAAATTAAAGCCAAACTCAAAGCTAACACTTTTTATTTTTTTTGGCTATCATGATAAAGGTTTAAGCATCTCGTTAATATTAAATAGGTTGTCCCAACCCACTAACTGCAGCTTAAAATAAAATAAAATTTAAAAAAACAGACTTACTGGCTGGATCACTAGGTGAGAATGTAGGAAAAAGAGGGAAACTAATTGGTAAGCTGCAATATATACATTGTTGCTTTTGATTTAGTTATGCCTTAAATTTCATCATTTTATGGTCACTGCTACCCAGTTTTATATGAACATTCGTAATAAGCTCCGCATTGTTTGTGAATAACAAGTCCAACAGAGCATCATTTGTAGCTGGGAATCTATAAACTGTACCATAAAAATGTCTCATAATAAGTTTGTAGATTTCTACCCTTTTACTCTTCCAGCAGCGCCATTACACTAATCAATCTCAGTTTAGTTGAAATCCTCCACAATTACCACTGTCCCAGCTCTTGAAGACCTTTCTGTTTGTGTAAGGAGCCAAGTCTCTACCGCTTCATTAACAGTCCACGCCCTTCCTACTCCACCTATAATTCCGCAGCACCATCATACTCTCCATGAACAAGGTCCTCTTTTATACTCACTTTTGGATCACTTCTCACAAAGAGACAGACACCACCTTTTCATTTTACCACGTCTCTCCCAAAGAGAGTATAGGCAAGAATGTTAGTAGCTCAATCATGTGAAGAACAAAGCCAACATTCAGCAATACCCAGAAATTATAGTGCTCTTCATGCATCAAAGGTTACAACTCTTCTATTGTTGAATGAGAGACTTCTGCCATCGAATAACAATACTTTAATCAATTGTTTCATTTTGCACTTATATTTACCATATCTTTCATTGCAGTACAAATAGTACCTTAATCACCATTGTTTTTTTCTAACATGAAAACCTCCCTATCACACGTCATAAGCAATTCCCCATCTTTACCTATCTCACCCCCCATTAATGTCTGTGAGGGACTTATCTGCCCCCGTCTAACTTTCCCTCTCTACATGTAAAACAAGAGTAAACAGGGTGCAAAAAAGGATCAGTAAAACAATCTTTAATTGAACAAAAACAAACTAGCAACTCACCTGTCAAAAAGGACAATGCAGCATAAGAGTAATAGCTAGCATAACTTAAGAGTAACAACCAGTACTTGCTTAACCAGTAGGCTTCACGGAACTTGGTCTCACAGATACACAAAAGGGAGAGTGCTTCACATAATGTTGGCTGCATGCAAGAGATCCTCACACACAGAACTGTCAGATGGAGATGGATGGACAACAGGCAACACATTTTTGGATGGACAAGATGAATGTTACTACGAAGCCCAGTTGCAGGAGCCACTGAAGAAGATGCAGCTTTTGTCTTCGTTTTGTTGTCTGGAGGCCCGGAAACGCCTTGCTTGTTTTCCATCCCTCTCCCACTGAACCCCTAATGTCCTAGTCCAGTTGTCTGCTCTCTCTCGCCCAGAATGTTCCTTTGAACTTATTTATTTGGACTTGTTTGTGAATTTTTCTTTTTCAAAATCCTATGGCCATCTGCTTTGGACGGCCATGGTTAGTTGTTGATGGGATAATAGGAGTGCAATATTTTTGGTTTTGTGTTTGTGTGCCTTTTCCTCTCCTCCAACCTTCCCAAAAACCTCCATTTAGATGCAGACCATCTTCAATACCCAAATAAAAGTCAGCCCAGTGCTCTAGAAACCCAACTCTTTCTTTCTCATTCTAGGCCATGTTAATGGGCTGCCCAATGTACCACAATGTTGAGCTGCAATGCAGATTTGCTGGTAAGGTGCATTATGGCACCATTCAGAAAAACATTCATATTACTGCAGCACAATGTATTGAATGAGATCTTAATGTGTGGTTTAACTTCAGTGTAAGACAGTTTGTTATTGGAAGTTACAATTACAATTTTGATGTGACCTGTAAAAAAATAACATTAAAAAGTAGACACAATAATGAGACACACATTTTATCTTGACAAAGCAATCTTCTTCTTTTCTGTATTGAAATTAAATACATTAATGCATACATAGATAAAATACTGGGGAAATGAATTGAGAAGCTGTCCAAAGCTAGTTTATATTTAAACTGAACATGACTTGTAACCAAAATGTTCCTTAAAAATATTGAAGCATATTAATTTGGTCACTTTGTAAATAAGCCCCAAAATAGATATGACTCAGGCACAACAACCCAGTGAGATAGCTCGAGGGAGGTAGCACCATGGCAGAATGACATAAACATATACATCGTGTAGTTGCAATGATAAGTTTAGCTGTTTCAATGCATAGTGGTCCACTGTAGCCTTTGCCTACCATCAAATAAAATGTACAGTTGAAAGTTGCTATTTACTATTTTAGGAAATGTTTAAATGGCGTGGAACCTGTATTTGCATAATTGCATTATTAAATTTATAAATGTAAGAATTAATTAATCCACTGATTATGGGTTGGCTCACTATATGGCTCCCAGGATTCACAAACTATTAGCAACACTTAAGACAACATTAATACTTTAGAAATGTTAACTGTGAATCATCTGTATAAAGTTCCATAACCCCATTGAACATTTTAATACAAGTTTGTTATATTTATTTACTTTATTTTAGTACTGCAGAAGTTAGGCAGAGTCTTACCATGTGCATCTTCAATGTGCAACTAAATGTGCTGACCTTATCTAGCTGTGACTTTCCTTTATTTTTAGTATTAATTGGCACAATGTCCTTCTCTCAATGACATTGATACTTCGGATCTCCATTTAATAAACTTCCTAACCGCTTCTGCAAACACAATTACAAGTCAAGGTATTATCCAATTATAATCTCAGTATGTAATTTTGCAATTTACTTAGGAGAAGAAGAAAGGTTCCATTATACAGGACCAATTACTTCTCTCTCTTGCCCCTGGTGGCAAATTGTATTTGAAGTGAGGCTATCAGTGAAACCATAAAACAGAGCATCACATTAACTGTTACTGGAAAACCTTACTTGTCTAGGAGACAAGGGCAGTTAAACTGTAAATCTAATTTTAGAAAGATTCGATATATCTAGCAGTTTAGTAAAATGTTGCTCTTGGAAAAGTGACCATAGGCATGAGATGATCCTCACTGGATTCAACCAATATCCAGATTGGGCGGTAAAGTTAGTAAACCTTGGCAAAATGCTGATTTTTTTTTACACCAAGAAAAGCTATGCATGGAGGTGCCTGTCTGTTCCTTGACCTAAAGCTGGCCATACACTGTTATGAATATGGCCGATCCAGCAGGGATTGACTGAATTTCCGATAAGTGTGTTTGCTCCCCACATTCAGCATAAGTTGATCGTTTAATAGACTTCTATTGCAGGGACATGTTGGAAATGTTTCCACCAATCTGCTATTTCAGCCTAGCAGCTTCAGCCGCTGATCAGTGTATACAATATTCCCGCAGAGGGGATTCTGCCATATTCCTCCATTCACCAGTTTAACACCTTGTCTCCTAGCCTCATAGCATAAATATGAGCATTCGGATGACCCAGATGTTTATGTCTAAAGCAAGATATAAAGAAATCTCTGAGGTGTTCAGGCCATAGCTGCCTATCCCATCATCTTCTGATGCCTATGATCAACTTTGGGATGGTCATAGATAAGCAGATATTTTACCATGACAGTGGGGGAAGGGGTTAGGGGGACTGCTAGTACTCATTCAAGTGCTATATAGCTTGTATCTTCCATAATCAACTTACAGGCCATCTGATGGAGAGTTGTGGTGACCAGAGAGTAAGACATTTGAGAATAGAACTCCTCCATCATATCAGGAACCTCTGTATTCAATTACAAGTGATTCTGATAAAAACAATTGTTGATTGCTGTAAAAAAAAAACCCTACATAGCCCAAAAGTCTTACATAATGATAATATCTATTGTATCTCTTGTCTCTAATGTGTTGTGTATGAAATTCACCATACTGAGAAATATGAGATTCACTAAGCAAGGTCACGCTTCTTCACCATATGAAGGAATAGGAATGTTTAGTATAATATAAATCTAAATGTAGTATAATATAAATATGTAAATCTATTAGTATATAGTCAAATATGCACCAATGCATTATTATAAGGTTTTAAACAATCTGAGACTTGACTACAATTAAACTGGAACTTTTTTTGCCAGCTTACTGCATAACAAATCCTGCTGTAGGTAATTGAAGTGAATGATCATTTAACATATGACAGTTGTAGGCTCCATTTATTAAGAGTCTCAATATGCACTGTATTGCCTGAAGCAACTGAACTCCAGCTATGCACACTTGAAAATTAAGCAAAGGTTCTAACTGGTTGCTAAAACTTTCACAGGCAGTTCTTCTTTCAGGCACTGTTTATTAAAAGTGCTATTAAACCCTCTATGTTAAACGTGATATTCAGAAGCATACCTTTATACTTACACATTTTTTGCCTGCCATCTGTTTCCAGGCTCACACTTTTTTATAATTGCCTTTAAATATAACCCCCCCCCTTTCCATTTGCAGGCTGGCTCTGTTGCCACCTTTATGAGTACGTTGCCTCCCAGATCTATAGCCTGGTGTGCTGACGCTCCATGCACCCATGCACACAAGAAGCTCAGAAGCCTAGAACAGAAGCCACTCTCCAGCACCTCCTCTCCAAGGTGATTGACAGGAGGCATTTGAAAGAAAGTGCTAGCAATAGAAATCACATATACTGCATATGGCAGCATTTTATATGGTTTAACTGGGCATCTCATGTATGTAATTTATTGCTTTTACTTTGTGAGTGCAAGAAGATCAGTCATATGTGACTTTTCTGTGCTTAGTGTGCTCACTCCCTGCCTGGAAGTTTGGGGAAGCGGCGCTAAGTGAAGGGAGAGAGTGGCTTTTAGAAGAAAGCATTGAGAGTTATTACAGATACATTTTGCTAAAAAAAAAAAACATTACTGTGCAGGGTTACATGCAGGGGCAAACTGACCATTTGGGCACTCGGCACTGCCCGAGGGCCCAGGGTCAGTAGGGGGTCCCAAGAGATGCCCATAGTACCTTTCATAGGTTTTTTTTGGTGTGGTTTGAGTGTGGGTGAGGACACAGGGGCCCCACGATCCCCTATTGCCCGGGGGCCTCATGAATTGTCAGTCCACCCCTGGTTATATAGTGGATATGAATATGTAGCTGAACAAATTGGAGTGTGTAATACTATCTTTAATTATAACTAAAGGCAAACCTTTTTTTGTTTTGGACATAGTGGAGAGTGATTACAACCAAATTGTACCAAATTGTATTGTAACTATAATGTCTACCTTCATTTTGTAAAGCGCTACACAAACTATTTGCGCTATATAAATCCTGTATAATAATAATAATAACCTCTTTCAGATCTTTTTTACTGTATGTGTCCCCATTAGGAGATTCACTATAGCGTTGATTTACTAGAACTGGTGGAGTGCAAAATCTGGTGCAGCTGTTCATGGTAGCCAATCAGCTTCTAACTTCCACTTGTTTAATTAAGCTTTGACAAATAAATGGAAGCTGATTGGTTTCTATGCAGCGCTGCACCAGAATTAGCACTTGCCAGTTTTAGTAAATCTAACCCTATTTGTCATGTTTACCATGATCACCAAAATGAAAGTAAAAGAAAATACCACATTTTGGGTTGTTTCCAAAAAAGTAATAAAGGGGACATTTTCAGTAGAGACTCTAGTTCTGGAGACTCCAGAGGCAACCAGGGGGTCCCTCACTTTGCGGGGATTTTCTCTCCTTTCCTGTTTTGGCTATGGGATGTGAAAGGAAATCTTCCCTAATGGGACAAATGGCAAAAAAAGATTACAGTGGTTTTAACCCTCCCTTACACCCTAAAAGCATTTGCATTTAGTTCTACTTTAAGTCCATTAGCTGTGGTATATAAAAGGTATGTAAAAAGAAGAAGGTCTCACTTACAGCAACCAGGTAAATATTCTCTTTTTTGGCACAAGCTTATTTTATAACAGATCACCATTGAAGTACCACATATTCTACAAGTGACACTATGTAAATAAGGATTAGTGTATTAGACATACACTTTTAGCAGATGTGCATCCTTTATCTGTCAAATACACAAATAATTTTGTCATTCTGACATTTCATCTCAAACTCATGAGTTCTTTTATCACAGAATTCAAGTCTGAGAAGAAATAGCATCAGAAATATCTGTTATAAGGTCAAACGAAGCAAGAAGCAATCATAATAATATAAAAGTATAATAATAATAGTTTTTGGTGAATGGCTGTGAAGCATGGATTATCATGGCCATTAGCACATTTTCTGTAATAAGCTGCGTGGAAAAAAACCAATGGCTTTTTTTCCCCAAAATATTCATAGATTAGGGTTTCATAGATTAGGGTTTCATAAATGCATCACTAAACTCCTATAGCTGTATATATGCAGTCATAAATGTTGAAACTCTATGGGAATAAAGTTACACATGCAGAACATGTTCTTAAAGTGTATCTTAGTACGGATGCTCTTAGCTAGGATATTCCTGCTCAGAAGAGCTTATTTTTTTAAGGAGATCAGGGAATTAACTGGAAACGCCACGGAAATGGGCTGGAAAGTTAGTAAGAAGCTCAAGACATAGTTCTTCTTGCTATGTTATACTTTATATTGAATCTAAGTAATATGTTGGATTTGTGTCCGTTAATGATCAAACACTATGCTGTATGGCTTCTGAAAAGGCCCATGTGATTATTGAAGGTGATTGGGCCATGTCTCTCCAGTGACGTCGGCTTGGCTACCCGTGGCAGAAAAGTTAATTCAGCTCCCAAAATAGCTGCCTAAGTCACATGTGTTCAAGTCTCAGCTGTAAATTAAACATCAACAGCTTTCTATTAAGAGTCAGAGAGAGAGATTCATCTCAAGGTGTACAGAATGCTCATCATATATTAATACAAATATGTCATTGTTCTGTCACCATCTTCAATACCTCATGCTGTTTACATAATCAGTATTCCTTTGAAATGTTATATCCTAATTGAAAAAATATATCTAAAGATTATGTAACTGTTATGAAACTTGTTTTGTTGTGTCCTTAAAACTGAGTTTATTTGCATTCTTTAATTTGGGTGCACCTATACTTCAGTTATAAACATAGCTATAGAAGGAATGTAAAAGCAGATGCTATACTTGACTACTCTTGACTTTTCCCATTACTGTGTTTTGGACATTTCATATTGTGGGCATACCCTAGTCTTGTATACCTCCATTAAGTTGCCCATACATGTGGAAATCAGGTCAATTGATCTCAATTTTAATTGAATTTTGCTATTTAACCACTTCAAGTCCAGACACTTTCACCCCCTTCCAGTTCAGGCAGTTTTTCAGCTTTCAGCACTGTCACACTTTAAATGACAATTGCGTGGTCATGTAACACTGTACCCAAATTAAGTTTTTATATTTGTTTCACACAATTAGAGTTTTCATTTGTTGGTTTTGATCACCACTGTTTTTTTTTGTTTGCTATATAAATAAAAAAAATATCAAAAATGTATAAAATTTTAATTTCTGTTATAAGATTTTGCAAATAAATAATTTTTCTTCATAAATTTAGGCCAAAATAAATTCTGCTACATTTTTTGGGTAAAAATAACCCAAAACAGTGTATATTATTTACTCTGTGTGAAAGTTTTAGAGTCTACAAACTATGGGATATAAATCTGAAAATTGATATCCCAGACCATAAAATGCTGAACGCTGGTATGATATATGGCAGTGATCAGGACATTGGAATGAGGTCTGCGTGATCAGGATTGGCATAAGGTATGGTGATGATCTTGACGCTAATGTGGGGTGTGGATCATCAGGATGCTGGTTTGGGATATGACGATGATCAGGACGTTGGTACGGTGTATGGCAGTAATCTGGATACTAGTATGACATTTGGGGTGATCAGAACGCTTGTATAGGGTATGGCGGTCATCCGGATGCAGGTATGGGTTATGGCGGTGATCAGGATGCTGGCATATGGGTTGATCAGAATGCAGGTATGGGGTATGGCGGTGATCAGGATGCTGGTATGGGCTATGGCGGTGATCAGGGTGCTGGTATGGGGTATGGCTGTGATCAGGACGCTGGTATGGCGGTGATCAGGGCATCGATATGGCATATGGTGGTGTTCAGGACACTGGTATGGCATATGCCGGTGGTCATGGCACTAGTATGGGGAATGGCGGTGATCAGGACACCGGTATGGCAGTGATCAGAACTGCACTGGTATGGTGTATGGTGGTGTTTTTGTGAGCACTGGGACATTGCATTATTTATTATTACACTGCGGCAGTGATCGGGGACACTAGGGCTGGCTGGCACTGAAGTCTGTTAGTGTACAAGCATCCTTACAAGCAGTGATTGGATATAGCAATCACATAGTATAATACCACATGACCACATTACCGCTGTGTCTGGGTGACACATGGATCACCGGGCTCCTAGGTGCACGCTCTGCAAGCTGCACAGGAGCATTCGATGCAGGCTGGTGTACAGGTACATAACCCGCATTTACGGTGCTTCCTGTCCACTGTCTATAGGCAGAGGGCGGACAGGAAGCAGTTAAATAAAAATAATGAATAGTCCACTAATTTTGACAACTGGGCAATTGAGTTAAAGGAACCCCAACTAAACATGGATAATTACCTTAAAGCTGTAATAAACCAAAAAACAAAAATGTATCAAATTTCAGCTTACCAGTTCTTAGATGTGGTGGCTTCATTGGTTTTCTTTTTTTAGGCTTTCTTTCTTTAATTTCTCTTGTAATCCTGTCAGTATGTCTGTTATTTTTCAACTTAATTTAAGAGGCCAAGGTGTCCAGAAAATGAATTGGGTTGAGACAAAGCATTTAACACTGACAGAGGTACTTACAGTTATCAACTTTCATTAATTTATGTAAAACCTTATTCTCAAGCTGTAATAGCTGGAGTTCAGCTTCCATTTTTCAGTCAGGTCCATCTAAATCTGCTAGTACATCTAACACTACCCTCCTCCCAGACTGACCATGTTGCTGTCCAAAGGTATCTACATCACTACTTCATCCAGAATGCAGATACCATAAGACAGGAAGTGGGTTACTGGCAGGATCACCAGGTGAAATAAAGGGAAAGGCTTAAAAAAAGAAAAGAAATACAGCTACCACATACAATATAATGATTGGTAAGCTGCAATATATTACATTTTTGCATTTGGATTTAGTACTGCTTCATATTCGCTACATGTATAGTAAGCATTACAGTTTTAACCAGACAACACTAGCAGATTAGTATGTAAAATGTGTGTTGAACTAACTTGTCAGAACCACAGAATGTCAGTTGTAAAGTCTTACACTGAAATTGCATACAATTTTTGTTCTCACTGAGAAATCTAATAATGTGTGTGCTAATGAGATTTCCAGTGGACATCGGTTGTTTAAATGTGTAAGGGGTGAGGGCAGGGAAGGAAGAATGGGGATTGGGGCATGCAACAGGCAAAGTAACTTGTTACAAAAGAAAACTAATACGAGATGGGGATGTTCAGCGAAGGACTGTGTTCTCAAAGTGAATGTTTGTATTTGGGGCAGGGGCGGACTGACCATTTGGAAACTCGGGCACTGCCCGAGTGCCCGGGGTCAGTAGGGGGCCCCATGAGATGTACCTGGTACCTTTTTCATAAGCTTTTTTGAGTTTGGGCAAGGACACAGGGGCCCCATGATTCCCTATTGCCCGGGGGCCCCATAAGTTGTCAGTCTGCTCCTGATTTGGGGTTATTTAGCCATCGGGACCAGTTGTGTTAAAGTTTGGCATAATTATAGTTCAGAAAATCAAACAATTTTTCCACTGAACAGTAAAAGTTTAGGTCATCTAGTACATTCAATGTATTAGGGGGACTGAGCGACTTCCAGAGTCTAGCTAAATTTAATTTTGCAGTATACAAAATGTGCACCATAAAATCATGATGATAGAAGGAAATTGGCTGGTCCCTACATGTAGCAGGGCTAATTCAGAGGAGGGAGTTGTTGAGGTTTCGGTGATTTCAGAATAAAGTTTGAAGATCTGGTTCCAATAAGAATGTAAATATTTACAGTACAAAAGAATATAAGAAAGGGC